CAACTTTAACTCCGGCGGAGGCACGTTGGAGCTGTGGAGGAGTTGAGCTTTGCGCGCTCGGCGGCTTTGCAGAGGAACTCTGAACGCTGGGAAGTGACATTTGCAGTCACCAGGGCGTCTGTGGTGGTGACAGAGTAAAGCTACCGGCGGAGAGAGAGGGAGAGGGGGTGGGGGGAGCAGATACTTGGTAACGCATCACACCAGGACGGGCAGCCGAAACTCAAGGCTCTCAGCCTGCGACGGCCACGGACGATGAAGGTAGGAGAAAATGGGGATGATGTGGTGGTTAAATGTAAACAATTATGAGTTTCTTCTGATTAGGTTCTGCAAATTGCATTTTTCCTAATTAATCAAGTATTTTAAGAGCTTGGAGAACATTTGGCGAGCTTTGCGCATGACTTCCCACTCCGTAGTTCTTCCTCCTGAGGTATTTAAAATACTTTATAGTTGATTAGTGATATAAATCATGTTTTATGTGCTTTAAGTTAATCTTGCTCTAACTGGAACAGCACAGCCTCCCCATGTTAATGTATGTAATTGTTGCTGATGTTGTTCATTTAACGAGATGCACGAAAAAGGGTTAAAAAAATAAAATAAAGTCAGAAACATGAGGTGGAGTGCGTTCTTACGCAGAGGTGTCAGATGTTCGCGTTATCTCAGGTAGCCTGCTGACTCCAGGTGCTGCTGGGCATGATGCACGCTTATTTATTCATGTGTCACCTGAAGCAACGTGGCTCCAGGTCAAAGGAGAACGCAACAGCTTCTGTTAGATGCGCCTTTTTTATTTATACAAACAGATGATGAACTTGTAGCATGTCTATAAATGATTCTGAATAGGTGCTTCCTTATTTAGTCACACGTTGTTGTTGTTAAAATTACATCATATTTAGATGTTTTACAAAGACTTAAGACAGACAAGCACACAAGAGATCACGTTCATGTTTTATTCCTGCAACGTTTTTAACATTTCTGGAAATTCTGCATTTAGATGCATCATGTAAGTATGAAAAAGTGTTATATTTGCATTAAACAGGCACATATTGACCCCTCAGAGCCATATAAATACAATGGAATGTTGCAAAAACAAAACCTTTATTTAAAAAACACTTCTCACTCAACAAGGTGTCATCCTTATGGCAAGCCTCCAGGTGAGAGGAGTTAGAATCAAGATGCTTGAGAAAAAATTAAATTGCAGACTCGGGGAGAGCTGCATGGTGGTGCATAGGGCAGCAGTGGTGCTTCACAGTGAGAAGGTTGCTGGTTTGAATCCCGGCTGCAGCCTTGCAGCGTGAAGTTGACATATGCTTCCCATGCATGTGTGGGTTTTTACTGGGCATGCAGGTGTGTGTGTGTGTGGGGGGGGGGGGGGGGGGGGGGGCTCTCACCTGCTGACTGCTGGAGAACACCTGCTCCATGTGACCCCAGTGAGGAGAAGGCAGTTTAAGTTGATGAGTGCGAGTGAGCAGACTTCAGGAAATACAACACAGTAAAACACTAGAACCAAAGAAACACTCAAAAAGGAACAATACAATAAAATTAAAGTGAAATAAATCTTTTTTTTTTCCAAAAATGACTAATAAAAACCACTCCAGGCAAGGCAGCTTTATTTGTATAGCATATTTCATAAACAGGCAATTTAATGTGCTTACATTAGAATAAAATAAGGTTACAGCATAATTAAATACTCAAATTAACTTCAGATTTAGGAATCAGAATAAAGACTAGGTTAAAGGGTGAGCAGTTACAGTGCAGAAGGTGCAGCACAAGAGACGTTCATTCAGAGGCTGATGAAAACAGGAAGGTGTTAAACGTTTCTAGGTCAGGAAGCTGATTCCGTCTGTGTGCAGCGTAGCAGCTAAAAGCAGCTTCACCCTGTTTGGTTCTGACCCGGTTCTGTTTCCTAAGGATCTCAGAGCCCTGCTGGGCGTAAACACCAGAAGGAGATCTAACATGAAATGGATTCTGTAGTTTACTGGTAAAGCCTGATTCGTGCTTCTCCGTCAGCTCCGCAAGGGACAGACACGCACGGATTGACGGGTGTTTTGCTCTCATACTTCTCCGTCTCCTGGGGGAGTGTTACAAAGCAATTCCCCGGCAGGACACCAGAGGGCGTAGCGCTGTTCTGTGGTATCCTGTCATGTATCCGGTCCAAGATAGTGTGTTTATATTGTGTTTTTTGTACACAAGAGACGTTTAACACGGTCAAATTTGTCTCTCATCCTCCTCCACCTCTTCATGTGCTCGCCACCTCTAAACCCACGTTTCCTGTCATTTCCGTCCACAAATAAAACGCTTGCTGTGCATCTTTTCACTCCTCCAGTCACGGGGGAATTAAACGTTCATATTTTAGAGTTTTTTCGCGAGGTGTTTTTTCTTCAAGCTGCTCCATGTCTGCTGCTAGTTATCCTCGGCTCTCTTTATGTTTTTGAGGGCGCAATGGCGGCGGTGTAGACGACAGTGGCGTCCTGACCAATCACAAGCTTGCGTTCTCCGTCTCGATGGATGGATGTTTAAAAAAGTGGGCTAGAATCCGTACGTACTTGCGTGCCTGCCGGGCCCCTACGCAAGGACGGATAATGGCGTTGCGTGACTCCCCACTGACGCAGGCGGAGATGCATGACTCAGGCTTAACTGTAACTGTACTGGTGGAGATTTAAGAACAGGAGTGGTGTGCTCATGCTCAAAAACCAGACTGTTTTTTTTTACTCTTCATTTTAAAACCAGCTTCGGCTTCCGCCAGGAAAGCAGTCCCTATGAAGAGCAGTGTCAGAATTTCAAAGTGACAATCATCCTCAAGGCTGATTCATGCTTCTCCGACTGCGTCAATGCGGAGATACGCAACGTCCTTGCGGGCCTGCTGGAGAGCTCCGCAAGGACAGACGGAGTCGAGCTCTCTTTTCTAAACATCCGTCAGTCGAGACGGACAACGCAAGCTTGTGATTGGTCAGGACGCCATCTATACCGCCGCCATTGCGCCCTCAAAAACATAAAGAGAGCCAAGGATAACTAGCGGCAGACACAGAGCAGCATGAAGAACACCTCATGAAAAAACTCTAAAAAGATTAACGTTTAATTCCCCCGTGACTGGAGGAGTGAAAAGATGCACAGCAAGCGTTTTATTTGTGGACGGAAATGACAGGAAACGTGGGTTTAGAGGTGGCGAGTGAATGTAGAGGTGGAGGAGAATGGGAGACAAATTTGTCCGTGTTAAAAAGTTTCTTATATACAAAAACACTATAAACACACTATCTTGGACCGGAGACATGACAGGATACCACAGAACAGCGCTACGCCCTCTGGTGTCCTGCCGGGGAATTGCTTTGCAACACTCCAGGAGACGGAGAAGTATGAGAGCAAAACGCTTCCGTCAATCCGTGCGTGTCTGTCCCTTGCGGAGCTGACGCATGAATCAGGCTTTAGATGAATCAGTCTTTATTGTATTTTTTAGAATACACGTTAGCTGCAGTAGTACTTGTAAAACTGTTGTTCAGTTGTAAAAAGATGTAATTTTTTTTTCAGACCTCCTACATCTTACAGTGGCTCAGTAATTTAATGAATGAAACTTGTATTTACCCGTCATCGGGGACTTTCACATTGTCGCATCACCTAGATCAGTGGTGTCCAATCCTGGTCGTCCCGGGCCACAATCCAGCATGTCGTTGTGGTTGATCAGCTTCAACTCACCTGATTCAATGGTTGCTCTACCTGTTCAGGTCACTGAGCTCTGCAGAAACCTTCTTCTTCTTCTTCTTTGAAATTAGGCAGGCTAGATGCCTATAAGGCGTATTGCTGCCACACCAGCCAACACACCGAGCCAGCACAACCCACTGCGCACAACGGGCACGCACACCATCCCACCCCGTGTTCCCACATAACCACCATCAACAAAAACCCACCCCCCGCTCACACCCCAGTGAAAACACACAACCCCACATGGAGGTTCACCCCATACTCACACTCCCACCCACACCATCATCACCCACCACCAAGGGCGTCCCACAATCCACAGCAGACCCAGAGCCCCCAACACCCCGCAAACATGTCGCCCCCCAAACCTCCTCGGGGGACACGTCAGAAAAATCCAACAAGTCCCCTACCACTGCTGTCACCTCACGAGCTATAGCAGATTTGTTGGACGCTCCACTCTTCACCCTCCACAAGGCCTCAACCAGAAATGCCAAAAACCTTGTTTTATCCCTCACAACCACCACACCCGCCCCCTCATCCCCACCACCAGTTGACAAAGGCACATTACAAGACCCGGTTGCACCACTATTCCGCATCCCCATACGACGCACCGCCTCAGCATACGACACCTTAAGCCGAGCCTGAACCTTCCCCATCTCCACCGCTGCCCTATACGCCACACAGCCCCTATTGGCCGCATGATGGTTCCCACCACAATTACAACATCGGAGCGGTAAATCACAATTCTGGCCGTCATGGTCACCCCCGCACCTTCGACAACGCACCCCCACCACACACGCACCGGCCATATGACCATATTCCTGACACCTAAAGCACCTCAGAGGAGGTTCCTCGTACGCGAGCAGGGAGCTCCACCGCGTCGAAAGTAATCAGCAGCGGAGTGGATCCACGTGTGTTGAACCCCAGACGCCGAACAGCCACCACCGCCGCCCCACTCAGGGAACCAAACACCTCCGACTCAGAGACCTCGTAGGAAAGCCGTACACCACACCCGTAATCATACAACCAGACATCGACTCGGGAACCACCACGTCCACCCCCAGAAACTTCGCAAGCCGCAGCGCTTTGTGGCACTGGGACTTATTCCGGCACACCACCACCAACAGCCCACTGAACACCATGATAGCGTCTAGCACACCCCCTACCATAATACTCAGCTCCCTGGACACCGCCAATGGGTTAGAGGTAGCATCTCCTACCGCCCTGATTCGCATCACAAAGCCACCCTCCTCCAGTCACAATCTGATGTGTGGCTGCCGCCCCCACGGTCTCTCTTTGCCGCCCCCACCGACTGAACCAGCGCTCCAGCACTCGTCTGTTTCCTCCCCATTGTCCACAACAATCGAGGCCGCTCCGCTCCGAAGCGAAGCCAGGCCGCTGTCTTACCGGGCCTGTCGTAAGTTCTGCAGAAACCTGTTGATCACCCACTGATTAAAACCAGGTGTGGTGCAGCAGAGAAACCTACAAAAGTTACTGTATAGGGAACAACAAGGACCAGGGTTGTACTTTATGTTTTCAGATTGTAGTAAAAACAAAAACTGCATGCAAAA